CATTGAGCAATGCTCATCCACAAACCAGATGCAATTTCTTGTAAACATAATCTCTTGTGATAAGGCACAATTTGGATTATAGATTATAAACACAAGGTAATAAGACCAAATCCAAATAAATAAATAGTGTGTGAAGTTTCAGTAACAGCGTTGTTACCCTCTTCAGACAAAAGTACTGAATGAGAAATTTTACCACAGCTTCTGTGTTTCTCAGAAAACTATCTTATTCTTCTTATCTGTTATCTTGTTTACACACTTGATAACAGTAACTATTTAAACATGCTGTGGTAAAATTTCTCATTCAGTACTTTTGTCTGAACAATGAAGAACAATGCTGTTACCGAAACGCCACACACTATTTAATTATTTGGATTTGGTCTTATTACCTTGTGTTTATAATCTCTTGTGCCTACAGCAGCCTGTAGAAGAGAATATTGGTTGAAAACTTTCAATATTTCCACCAATATGAGATATGCCTTGGCCACCAACTGATCATCTTTATGATAAGGTACAATTTGGATTATCCCTATATATAGTCACGACCGTCATCGGCCGCCTCTGTCACGGATGCGCGCGCACAGGGAGGTCACGTGCTCGCCGGCAGCCAATAAAAAAAAAGAAAAAAAAAAAACTCCCTCGAGCCGGATTTGAACCAGCGACCTAAGGATCACCGTTGTAACATCTACAGTCGGGTGAAATACAGGCGTTGCCCGAGTCATTCGGCTAGTATTATACAAGAATGACATCCACGGCACCAATTTATAATTGTAACGAATAGTATTTGAATAAAAGCATTTAATCGGGTAAACCCCGGGCGTTGCCCGGGTCATTCGGCTAGTAGATTATAAACACAAGGTAATAAGACCAAATCCAAATAAATACAGTAAAATCTCCCTTTAGCGTACACCACGCTAGTAGCCACCTCTCTACAAAGGACAGTTTTCATTTGCAAAATTACCATTTTTACTATTTTGCAACTCTCTGGTAAGAGGACACCTCTTCCTAAAGGACACTTTGGCTCTGTAATTAGGTGTTGTCCTTTACAGGGAGGTAGTTCTACTGTATATATATTGTGTTTTCTTTTAATTTATTATTTTGTTTTTATCATTTTTTTTTATTTTCTCAATGTTTCAACAAAAATCTTTTGTCTTCATCAGGAAAAAATAAATAAAGCATTTGGCCGAAGTGTCTATTTTTCTCAGAAATGTGAATGCTAGCCAGGTAACCTCTTTCTTCAGGGATGAATATGTATTATGAATCTCTATTTATTGAAGGCTGTTACTGAAACCTCCCACACTATTCATTTATTTGGATTTGATAAGGCACAATTTAGTCCTATAGATTATAAACACAAGGTAATAAGACCAAATCTAAATAAATAATGTGTGAAGTTTCGGTAACAATGTTGTTAGCATCATCAGACAATTTGGTTTTATATTACCTTGTGTTTGATCATCTTTAATTAAAGAAGTAAACATTCGCACCAATCACCTTGGAGACTTTCTTAACCGGCTGGATATCCCAACTTTATTGTCGCGTAATCTTTCCTAAAGAGATATAATAACATCTACCCATGTTAATAGTCTAGTTCCCCAGCGGACCCTTTCCTACTACTATCCCCCTTGACACATTGTGAATAGCATTGCTAATTATTGTAACTATTGTATATACCCTCTTCTACGTGGAGAAGTTGTATAAGACCAAAAGGTCATAACAGGGACTTTTGTTGTTGTTACTACTGTTATTCTTGTATGTACCCTACATTTCTGTGCTTGGATTATCCGTATAAGACTAAATTGTCTTAATAAAGCTTTTTGTTGTTGTTGTAATTAAAGAAGTCCTGGGAGATTACGTATAAAATGTCTCAGTGTGTAAGGTCGTAAGATCTAAGTTTGTGATTCAGTGGCCAAGCCATAGATATCAGAATAGCAGCTTACCGTATACAACGGGGGTAGAGTTCTCCACGTGCGCTGGTTACAGGACACTGGAGGTTCTTGCCATTGAGGTAGAAGTTGAGTTCAACATGGTCGTATGAGACTCCCTGGTGGCACAAGTTGGTACAAGTTAATATGGAAGAAATATAGCATGGGAGAATAAATGGAAGGTATGTAGTACAAGTCTTGGCAACCATCATGAACCATCAATTGATGAGCTCTACTCATCCTCGGCAGACACCATCAACAAGCTTTACAAGTTTGATACCTTAATATGATTGAGTGGAGATAAGAAAGAAGAAGAGTCTTCGCTTGGGAGCAACTCTTCAGATGGATTATATAAATGAGGTAAATCTGAATTTGATGTTATAAAATGTATCTACTTCTTCTTCTTTCTTATCTCTTGCATAGAGAATATATACAATCATGGACTAAACTTAAGGAAGTGGTAGGCCTTCAATGTCGCTTGTCATCTTTTTTTTTTTAGAAGACAGAGTCAATTTTGTTCATATGGTGTCTACAATAAAGGTCACTGTAATATTGATAAGTCACAATTTGGATTATAGATTATAAAACAAGGTAATAAGACCAAATCCAAATAAATAAATAGTGTGTAACACACATTATTTGGATTTGGTCTTATTACCTTGTTTTATGTCACTGTAATATCTTTCAGAGTTATTGTCTGAATCCCGATATACATACTAAAAGGTACAAATTCCTAAAGTTTTGTCTATGAATGTATATCACATTATATATTAGTAAATTAAATTTGTTGTTGTTGTTGTTGTTTCTTATCCCCTTGTGTAAAGATTACACGAATTCCATGAGTTCATGCTCCTCGAGCTGTTTTATGATGAGCAGCGGCCTCTCCCAAAGGTCCTGTTTAGTGCATCTAATGCAAGCCAAAATGTGTTCTGGAGCTGCAGGTACCAAGCTACATTTTGGGCAAGTGGGATAAATTTTGTTATTATTTTCTATCTTCAATGGCTTGAGATGGCCTGTTCTAAATCTTGTTAGTGTTGTTTGATGCTGTCTATTTCTGATGTTCAGAGCTCCTCCTGGGTTCACTCCACTGTACCAACTGTGCTTAGGTGGGATCCTCCAGTTCTTGTTTATTTCTGTTTTGGCTATTGTTTCTATTTCTTTAAAAGTAAGTTCATTTTTCTGTGGCAAGGGTTCTTTTGTGCCTTTTTTCGCTAGCACATCAGCAGCTTCATTGCCTTCAATGCCAACGTGTGAGGGTATCCATTGAAGGTGAATTTTTGAGGTTTTTGAGAGTTTTTGGAGATAACCAATTATGTTCCTGCTTACTTTGTCTCTGAGTTCCCCTGTGTGACTCAAGTGTTGTATGGCACTTCTACTATCAGTAAGAATCCAGATATCTTGATAATTAATATTTCTGATGGATTTTAAGGCTTCATAGATGGCTATAAGTTCTGATCTGAAGACTGAGCAAAAATCTGGGTTTCTTCTGTTCATTTTCTCAATGCCATTTGTGGTTTTGATGAGACAGCCACTGCCAGTGTGTCCCAGCTCGTCTCTGCTACCATCGGTATAGATAGTTATTGCATTTTTAGGAATGTTATTAATTATTTCTAATGATAATTGTTTTAAGTATTCTGGATTTTGATATTGTTTGTTGGTGGGTTCATTTAAAGTGGCATTAAAAATAACATTTTGTAGTGGTTTGCATGGAGAAATTTTTTCTGCTAAATAATTTTTTTCCACTTTATATTTTAAAAATCCATTTCTTTTGGCCAGGTGGAGAGGGCCTTCTTTTTTGAGTCTTATATTGGATTCCCAATTAAGTATGTAATTGGAAGTTCTGTGTTTGTTTCCATAACTCTTGATTTTGTTTATATATTTTGGCAGATTGTAGTTTCTTCTATCCTTTAAGGGCTTAATGTCTGCCTCGTAAAGTACAATATCATTAGGGCAGGTATTTCGAAGACCTGTAATAATTCTAGCTGCACTTATTTGTATCCTTTCCAGTGATTTTAGATTTGTTTCAGATGCTGTACCATAGATTTGATATCCATATTCCAGGATAGGTCTAATTAGAGATGTGTAAGTTAATTTTAGTGTGGTTGCATCGGCTCCCCACTCTCTTCCTGAAATATATTTCAGGATTTTTAGTCGGTCTCTTCCTTTTCTAATAACTTCTTCAATATGTTTACTGGAGTTAATTTCTGGATCCAGGGTGTAGCCAAGATATTTAGGATGTTTATTATATTGCAATTATTGTTCTTTCAGAATAATTTTTGGTCTTATTTTGTATAGTTTCTTATCGGTAGTAAAAAGACAGGCTTCAGATTTTTGGGGGTTAAATTCTAATTTATGAAATTAAATTAGATTTAATTGCCTATCTAAATTAAATTTAATTGCCATCTATCGTTGAATTTTACACAAATAAATTTACTGGCAATGCGTTTCTTTAAATATATCACATTATTGTAGGTTGACAGCTTATGATAGAAAAATTCACACAAATGTCAACCATCATCATTTATCATCTGAAACTTCAGCAACCCACTGCCGTTCTTTTCAAGGCAAGAAACAACATTGACTCTGGTAGATCCACAATGGTCCATCATTTTGAACTTTCTTTCAACAGCTACAAGGTAATAAGACCAAATCCAAATAAATAAATTGTGTGTGACGTTTCCGTAACAGTGTTGTTACCATCTTCAGACAAAAGCATAAATAAGAAATAATATATCACAGCATGTTCTTAAATATTTAAGACTATTTAAGAACATGCTGTGATATTTTTTCTCATTAATGGTAACAACACTGTTACCGAAAGGTCACACACTATTACATTATTTGGATTAGGTCTTATTACCTTGTGTTTATCACACACTATTTATTTAGATTTGGTGTTGATATCTTTTGCTGTATAACGTCACACATATAATTTGCTTATTGTGATTTGAGTCAAAAAGCGATCCATCAAAGTTTATATAAAAAAGCGTACCTGGATCTGTAAAGAAAAAAAAAAAAAATTTTTTTTTCTCAAAATAATTTCGAGAGATTGTTCCCTCTTTATCAATTTATTGCAAAGTGCGGCTTATGATTATAGCCTAGTGGACATGGCATCTGCCCAGTAAGCAGAACACTGTGGGTTCGTTTCCCATCCCTGGACACTTTTATTTTTCCGTTTATCATTACTCTTTACAATTCATCCTTTCATACCTCATCTCTAAGGTTAGAAATAATCGTTATTTCTTCTTAAAAATAAATTTCGATTTTTCATTTAAAAGGAACACATGTGAGATGGTTTTCCAATGTCGTTTTACAAAAAAATAGTGTGTAATGTTTCGGTAGCAGCATTGTTACCAAAACATTACCCGCCCAGAAGTCCTCCTCTATATGGTGGGCGGGAGAGGCAGCCCAAGCAAGGGACTGCCCTGTAGGGCAAATTACGGTGGGGTCTTCGTGAGCCCCGAGCTGCTACAGTTACCGTGAAGGCTTACAGGGAACTGAAATGTGGCTGACTAACCCTTTCCAAGGAGCAACTTTACGGACAAGACACCACCACCAAAACATTACACACTATTTATTAATTTAGATTTGGTCTTATTATCTTTTGCTGTATAACGTCACACATATGATTAACTTATTATGATTTGTGTTTATTTGGTGAAAGCAGAGAGGAGGTATGGAGAGTTACCAGGATATCTCCTTCAGCTGGGACCTCTGACAGCTTGGATACTGTCTCCCCAGCATGCAAGATGACACCATCACTGCGCAGTACCCAGCTGTCTCCATCTTTGCCCAGCGGGACAGAGTTGAGGTTGACTCGAGGGGAGGCCAGTCCTACCCCCCACACACCTGCCGCAACAACAAACATTGTACAGACACACCTAAATTTGCATACACACACTGCAACTACATATTGATAAAACTTCACCTTTGCCGGTCCCAAGCCCGGATGAAAAAGGAGGAAGGGGAGCAGAACAAGCTCACTAAAAAACCTGGACTCAGCTGGCCCGGCTGATAGTACTCTGTAAGGACTCCTGATCCAGGAATACAGGATGAGCAGCGTTTATACTCCATGTTAGGAGCGGCTGCACATGGCATCTGTTCCTTATGTCAGAGGCGGCCATTTCTTTTGGAGCTAAGTCGGCCTGCCACTGAGTAGTGCTCCCAGTCTTAATGACAAAGGCAGACGTATTCTACTTCACCCAGTCATGATGGTTGTCAAACAGACACCATCAAGGGTCACAACTTGATACCTTAATGTGATTGAGTGGATATAAGAAAGAAGACATATTGATAAGGCACGATTTGGATTATATTATGAATACAATGTAATAAGCCCTAACCCAAATAAATAAATACGTAGTGTGTGACATTTTGGTAACAACGCTGTTACCGAAACGTCACACACTATTTATTTATATGGATTTGGTCTTATTACCTTGTGTTTAAAACCTTTGGTGATGTTTTGCAAGTGTCATTTCCACCAGTACAATAGGTTGTATTGCTCGACTTCTCAATGGCAGACATTGGAAGAATTGCTTACTTCATCTCAACCCATTGTCTATCTGACACCTGTACACCCTTCCTGACAGACCTGCAGAGAATAAAGTCACATCAAGCTAGAGATGGAACAGAAAAAACATATATCTAAAGTAAATAGGAAATAATCTCAGGTCACGTACCAAAAGAGACACACACTATTTATTTATTCGTCTTATCACCTTGTGTTCATAATATATAATCCAAATTGTGACTTATCAATGCATTAGTTTATCACTCCAGTAAGAAACTTAAAGGTCTTCTTCTTTCATATCTCCATACTGGGTGAAGTAGAATGCCTTTGTCATTAAGACTGGGAGCACTACTCAGTGGCAAGCCAACTTAGCACCAAAAGAAATGGCCGCCTCTGACATGAGGAACAGACACCATGTGCAGCCGCTCCTAACATGGGGTACAAACGCTGCTCATCCTGTATCCCTGGAGCCCTTACAGGGTACTATCAACCGGGCCAGCTGAGCCCAGGTTTTTTAGCGAGCTTGTTACTGCTCCCCCTCCTTCTTTTTCATCTTGGGACCGGCAAAGGCGGAGTTAAAAGGTGATGATGAAGAATGAGCCAGAACACCAGTTTTGGTAAATTCAGAAAAAAGTCAACACAACCTATAAATTAAGAAAAAGGTATTTCCTTATCGTGCAACTGAAAGTTGCTGATGGCTTGCGGCATCTATCAGAATAAATATCAACTATTCATTGATTTATTGAATTATTTATTCAATTATTCATTGAATTTATTCCGATAGATGGCGCAAGCCATCAGAAACTTTCATTTGTATGATAAGGAGATGCCTTTTTCTTAATATATGAACCATATCCCAGTACAATATCACATTTGTACTATTTCTTCATACTGTATGCTATAGTTTTGGGCTGTGACCCTCAACATAAATATACAGGGGTGACTTTGATTTTATAAATTCCTACAAGAGGAGATAAGGCACAATTTGGATTATAGATTATAAACAACAAGGTAATAAGACCAAATCCAAATTAATAGTGTGTGACGTTTCGGTAACAGTGTTGTTACCGAAATGTCATACTCTATTTATTTATTTGGATTTGGTCTTATTACCTTGTGTTTCAACAAGAGGAGCTATGAAATTGGTCAAATTTACCAAAAAAAGGTGTTTAAACTGGTGAAATGGCAAGGCTATGAAAGTGAAGCCGCACCTGTACTCCACCTGTAAATGACTACTAGACTATGATAGACCCATCTGTATCTGACTGCTGGACTATGATGGTAAAACTCAATGTAATGGACCCACCTATGTCTAACTGACTGCCAAACTAAGATGAAAAAACTCCATGTGATGGACCCACCTATGTCTAACTGACTGCCAAACTAAGATGAAAAAACTCCATGTGATGGACCCACCTATGTCTAACTGACTGCCAAACTAAGATGAAAAAACTCCATGTGATGGACCCACCTATGTCTAACTGACTGCCAAACTAAGATGAAAAAACTCCATGTGATGGACCCACCTATGTCTAACTGACTGCCAAACTAAGATGGAAAACTCAATGTGATGGACCCAATTGTCTGTAACTGAATGCTGAACTATGATGGTAAAACTCCATGAGATGGACCCAACTGACCACAAAGGTCCCACCCACCTGTCTGCTGGATCTTGACCTCGAAGTAGGCCTTGTCCTGGAGAATGGGAGCTGTGGCCAGGGCAGCTCCACTACCACACAGTCGGCGGCCATTCTTCACTATTACTGCGTCTTGGCCTGCAACCACCATCTGTGTATTGTACATGGCAGAGAATTTTTTTTCATTTCAAAACATTTCATAGAAAATGTTCAGGTGCTGACCTGGCCAGTACATTCTCCTGATCTGTCACCAATAGAAAACATATGGTCAATGGTTGCTGAGCGAATGGCTCATCACAACATGACAGTCACTATTGTCGATGAACTGAGGCATCATGTCAAAGATACATGGGAAGTTGTACCTGTACATACCATTCAATCTCTGTTGGACTAGAGTGACAGATGTATAAGTGCCAGAGGTGATACTTCTAGGTACTGATTATTCAGGATCCATAACTCAGAATTTCTTTTGTTATTAAGAAAAAACATCTCTTGATCATGATAAAGCACAATTTGGATTATAGATTATAATAATTTATTAGTGTGTGATATTTCGGCAAAAACATTTTTAATTCTAAGAAGAAAATTTCAAGTTGTCTGAAAAAACTATTTTTCCTTATCTGTTATCTTGTTTAAACACTTGATAACAGTACACCTATCCCCCGATTTACACGGTACTTGTTTTACACGTTTTCGCTTTTACACGGTTTTCCAAATAAGTTTTTTCTTATTTTTATCGCACTATACTAAATGCTACTGTGATTGAACACATGCGCTGTGTACACATCTCACGAGGAATCCCGAGCTTATGTGCTGACTTGCTGCACACGCACACAGTGTCTGTATTTCTAATTTTAAAAAATTTTAATTTTCGATTTACACGTTTTTCTCAGGAACGTATCTACCGTGTAAATCGGGGGATAGGTGTACTATTTAAGAACTTGCTGTAATATTTTTTCTCATTTATTCTTTTGTCTGATGATGGTGACAATGCTGTTGCTGAAACATCACACGCTAATAAATTATTTGGATTAGGTCTTATTTTCTTGTATCTCTTGATCATGCAAATAAAAGTTGCTGATGGCTTGAACCATCTGTCAGAATAAATATCAACATATAAAATGAAAAGATTTAAAAGCACGAATGTTTCTTATATACATAAAACAAACTTCTACTGCCCTTTCTGCGATGAAAAAATATATTGGGAGGGCTTGGCTCATCAGTGGTGAACCCTCCCAGCGGTTTCACCAATTTAATCTACCAGACCGGGGGGGTCGGTGGAAGACTGGTTAAACCGTTTGGTTTACGACCACTACGACCCGGGTTCGATCCCCGCATTGGACACTTTTTTCTGTTTAAAGAAAAAAAAAATGCTCCAATGGCCCCCCGATTCTTGCAAAAGTCCAACCCCACCAGCGAGTGCAAGTAACCAAACGGGGCTCTGGCACATTTGTAAGTGCAAAGTCGAACTGCTTTCACATGTGTAGACATGTGGTGCGCTTACAGTAAAAAAAAAAAGCAGTCGCTAACTACCCACCATGATTATCATGGCCTGTACCACGTGTACTAGGGATAAGCAAAAAAAAAAAAATCTACCAGACCGCTTCTCAGAGCTCTAATACTGTATTGGACGATTCTGCTTATATACGCAGCACTAAATTGGTGAAACCGCTGGGAGGGTTCACCACTGATGAGCCAAGCCCTCCCAATATATTTTTTCATCGCAGTAAGGGCAGTAGAAGTTTGTATTATGTATAAAAGAAACATTCGTGCTTTTAAATCCTTTATATGTATAGATGGCGAGTTATTGCTTTGTGTTAAATATCAACTTATCGTTGATTTTTAATTATTACAGAATTGGCCAAATACCCATTCTTGATTAATCAAGAAAAGCTAACCACGTACGTGTTTCAGGCTATTGGCCCTCACGAGCATGATGCAAGCTATACCTCAACAACCAAAAAAACTGGTCTTTAAGGCATCCTAATAAACATGAAATGGTATTTAAGGT